ACAGAACTTGGGTGGCCCTTTAGCTGCACTTTAGATTTAAAATGCTTTCTTATGTGTTTTGTGGAATCAGCCATCAGGGTAGGCTGCTTGCGTTACACCCCTTAGGCCTTAGGGTGAGGTCTTCTCCGGACCCTACGTGAACGCAAGATGTTTTATGCACCGGGCTGTCATTCTTATGTGTTTTCTTCTACAGAAGATAACGTCTACTACACCATGGCATCAATTGCTGACAAGTTTTATTCCATTGTTTGTGTAGTACCAAGCTTGTTGTATTGACGGGAGCTGGCATGAGCACAGAGAGTGGAATTCCGGACTACAGGAGGTTGGTTTAAAATTAGATGAGCAGGTTCAATGTGCTCAAACATTTGATCATTCTCTGAAGTTGGTATCTGAGTTACATTTCTAAAAAAGGGAACACATTTTCTTTAAAGAAAATAAGGTTGTCAATGTTTGACTTTTATGCTATCCGAGTTACATTTCCTTAAAAAAGAGACACATTTTGCTGTAAAGAGAAGAAAGTTTTCAATTTTTAGTTTGTATGCTATTTGCTGCAGTAAAACTTTAAATTGATTTTCTTTGTCAATATGATGTCCTGCTTAGGTTCACAGGCTCTAATTTTCATAACGTGACACGGTCAACACAAGATCCACTGCTATTGAATCCGTTGTAGGCGAAACTAGTAGAAGTGAACACCCTGAGAGAAATTCTTTTTAGGAGCTATGTAACAAATATTACGCTCTCTTGGTTATCATCGTATCTGAATTACTCAAATCTGGGTGTATTAAAGAGAAAAACAAAAAGAGACACACGTCCAGATTGCTATCAATATTAAAAGCCGATTTTTCTGGTATTGAGCATTTAGCTAATTTGCATGAAGTGAAGATTAAATCTGAAAGTGCAAGCTAGATATCCTGTTCGAAAAAATGCATGAAGGTATTGTGAAACAGAATTTTTTTTTAATATACTTTGTTTTGAGTATTGCCTGCACCCTTGGCCTGTTTCTATAGGGCGCCAGGGTGGTACGTCTTGATTGAGTTTAAAGATGGAGTAGAGAATTTGGTATTACAGTTTTCTGCTACTTCTAGATTTTATATTGGGCCCTGAAATTTTTGTATGATTAAGTAACATAATTTAGGCAAATGGTAATTCTTTTCCTTCTTTTCTTGGCAGCCCGAATGGAGCTTATAGTACTGGTTTCAAACCAATTACCCATCAGGTGACCTGAAGGCATGTGTTTTGATTCTTGGTTCCATTAAAGTATCATGAGTATCATAAATATCATTTCTCCCATCTTACAGAGGAAAAAAATTTAACAGTCTGATCCTGAAGGTAGAAAAAAAGCTGCTACAGTTGCATAAGAGAAGCTGCGCAATTAATATGTTTACACGAAAAGCTTGAAAATAATTTAGCATGATCAGGCAATAAATTCTACTGTGTTGTTCTGTTCATATCTTGCCATATATATATATTCCTTCTCCACAACAAATCCTACATGAATTTAGGTTTTGGTCATCTCTAAACATGTATGCATATACTTTTTCTTGTTTAAGAGATTTGTCTGCTAGAGTTATAAGGAGTTGGTAGAGGACAGTAAGTCTTCAATTTAAGAATTGCATGAACTGAACTGGATGGGAACTGACAATCTACTTGGTAATAAGATATTTTTCCTACAAAAAAGCAGATCATCTAACCTTGCATATACTTCTTTGGAGGCCTTTGCATCCCCAATATTCACTCCTATATAATAATATTTTTTTTGAAGAATTAACCCAAATAGCAGCTCATCCAACCACTTAAACTAAAAATAGCCGACAGATGTATAATATATGTATAATCAATATATACTATGTGTATAATTAGTGTATAATCTATGTACACTGCCTAGAAAAAGAAAACAATGAACCCGACCGGCTATTTGTATAAAGATTCCTATTTTTTTATGGAACATGACTTCAGCATAATATTACCATAGCAGCACTCCTCCCTTTTAACCTATCTTATTGTAATTCTATGCATTTCATCTTTTTTTCTCGTGAAACCGAAAAGGATAAAAAATAAATCCAACTTATGCCCAAAGAATCAAAAATTTGGAGCCGCTATCATTCGAACTGTTTAAATTCTTTTTATCTGGCTAGGTAATATGCTGATTCTTCAAGCTTCTACAGTTCATGATCTTCTTCCATTTTACCCCGCTTCCGATGATTTTTTTTGGATAGATTTAGTTGCCCATCTCAGTACCCCTATTTATGTGATGCCTCTCACTAATTTTCCAATCTGTTATTGAACTAGCATGGCTTCTTCTATTTGTTCAATCGAGGAACCACTGAACAGTAGTTTGATCTCATCTCCTTCCTAAATCTAATCATTCTTCTTCACTGCCATAATCACTGTACCTTTTAGAGCATCCTTCCTCAACTGCTCCTCTCCTTTTTCTTATTTTATTCATGCAGCTTATATATTTTGTTCCTTAAGTTAACCTATGCATACATAATTTTCCTAAAGATGCGGGTGTGCAATCATAGACTTGGTAAAAAAAAATAGCTTCAAAAGAAAATTTGTTAGATAGTATATGAGCTGAGTTGTCGCTGGATTTTCTAAAGTTAAAGTTTTACATTCATTTGTAGTTTATAACTTTCTTGTGTCGGCATCTACTTAATAGGTGCAGTCAAAAGATGCTTCGTCTCGTATAATACCAGTTATCCCTCCAAAATCAGTGTTTTCTTTAATCCTCCTGTTCTTCACAGGATATTCAAAAGTTTAAGTCTTCATCTTCCTGACAGGATTTAGAAAAAGTTTCAGCTTGTTTTTTTAAATTAGCAGTGGTGTCTAGGTCAGCATGTGCTCCCTTAGCTATTCAACCCGGTAAGTGCTACCTCCCACCAGCACATGTACCGGGTAACTATGGTATTTGAGCTCTGGTCTTCCATGATTATCCCAGTTTATTTACTGGTAGGACACATCTTGGTGCTAGAAAAGTTGTCAGCTTTCTTCGAAATTTGCAGTGTTAGCTTCTATTTGGTCTTCCTTCAAATAAGGCTTCTCATTGCACTTGTTTATCTACTGTGCATACATTCATATTTTCTGATTGAAGTTTTCATTGTTTTTTATTGCAGGAGTTTCTCAGATCAGTCAAGGCTCGAAGGCGTTATTGGGCACGGAGTTATGCTGGCTGGAGACGTTTCACTGCTGCTCAACCTAGTACAGGTCATATAGCTCTATCATCTCTTGAGAAAGCAGGCCATATAAGTTTTATGATTACACAGAATGTGGACAGGTGGTTGGCTCGTCTTTTCATTTAACTTTGATTTTATGAGCCTTTTAACACCAACTTGTTACACTTCCTCTCAGGCTGCATCATCGGGCTGGCAGCAGCCCACTTGAATTGCATGGGACTGTCTACATTGTCGCCTGTACAAATTGTGGTTTTACTCTACCTCGAGAACTGTTTCAAGATCAAGTGAAGGCTCATAATCCCAAGGTTATCTTTGTTCAACTATTCTATTGATCTAGTAATGTTCATATAACCCCATACACGACATTGAAATCACTTACTAATTATTGATTTGAGTTATATGAATTTGACTTCATGAAATATGAGAGAGAAAATTGGTTTTAGCACTATTCCACGGGACACTTAGGCTAATAGGTACAAGTCCTATAAGTCCTGTAGACACCGATATGCTTTTCCTTTACTCGGTGTTTTCAAAACCAAAAAGCACCCGNAACAAGGTCCATGGGGCTTGAAGCAAAAAGTGTGAGTGAAGCGCACAGTTTATGGAACCGAACATATATGAATTTAGCAGTACCGTGATCATATGGAAATTAATATAATTAATTTCAACATCCTATATAAAATGATGCTGATATAAATCCCAAAGTTGAAATTCAAAATGCCGCTCATTTCTCGTTGAGATCACTTTGTCCGTCATTGTTTGAAGTGCTCATCAATGAAGCAATATCCCCTTACTTTGCATATCTTCCTCGCTTTAAGTGACAAAGGGATGGCTTGTAATAACACTGCTTATACTTGTCTGGAAAAAAGAAAATGATGGATACTTTGGCATGTAGAATGTTATTGATTTCATTGTCACAGCGACTTTTCCACTAATTTTTTCATGTATCAAGGCACGTTGGTGAACCTAGACCTGATTTAGTGCTCATTTTCTAAGCTTTCTTAGGTATTTCTATCTGTGTTATTCATACTTCAATTGATTGGGCATAATCTATTCACTGGTTTGGTCCGTTGGCATAAATTGAATTGGAGAAGTTGTAGTACTGCAGTGGGCAGAAGCTATCGAAAATTTGGACTATGACAGCCGATCAGACAAGAGCTTTGGAATGAAGCAAAGGCCTGATGGGGATATTGAGATCGATGAGAAATTCTGGGAGGAGGATTTCTACATTCCTAATTGTGAGAGGTGCCGAGGAGTTCTGAAACCTGATGTAAGTCTTTTTTTCTATGTATTAGATGAGCTAGTCTGTATAAACTTGGAGCAGCCTCTTTTTTCTCCTTCTTTATGTTTTTTTTTTCTTCTACTGGAGCTTAAAATAGGTCTTGTGGATTTCCAGGAAGAGTGATTTACAGTAAATGCTAGATTGTGCAGAAATTGCATAAGATGAAAAAGTCCCTTGTTATTACGAATATGCTGAAGAATATTCTCGATTGAAAAACTAGCGTTGCACCACGGAGAACAAGAATAGCCTATAGGTAGAGATTTCAAAATTCTGATAAGTGCCAATAAGTACAGAATACCTAGTAAAGAAGTTCAAATAATAAGAGTTTTCCCATTCTTACTTGGGAAAAATCTCGAAAGGAAGAAGTCAAGTAATTAGTCTGCTGATTTTAAATAAAAATCATATGTATAGAAAGGAGATATCCTCACAACCGCCAAAAGTTGATTTTTGAAAAACTTTAGTTGCCACATTATACATCATCTACGGTGCTTCAGTTGCTGAACATCAGTGAACATACTTCATTTCTCCATAAGTGAGATGGAAGTCCCAGAAGCTCAATATAACTAGAGAGAGGTATTGTTTGGACAGAAGCCCAATGTGCATTTAAGCAACTGCTTAAGGAATTGATGTACCATTGCCCCTTCCTCGGCAACCTCTGAACATCCTCTCCGTATTACAACTTGCTTATAATACAACTAATTGTTATAGTAACATTTAAAAGGTTAATCTCCTTCATTGACAGCCTACTATGTAAAAATTTCCCTACCATCGTTATGGTTCAGCCAGTTTCAAGGTGCCATCTCTAAGGATAAAGTCCGATGGTATCTTCCCACTGTCTGTTAAAAGTATGAGAGGAATGGCAGGAATCAGAAATCTAAATAGAAAGATTATTGGGGTGACAGTAAATCAGAGGTCCGTTAGGGGGAGACAAATACAAAAGTTTGAGAGAGCAGAAGCTTCAGGTCTGACCAGATTATATATCTCAATGCAGATGCATAAGATGAATGTTAGATATACGAACTCCCCTGTTTTATGTCACGGGATCCTATTGGTTAATAAAAACGTACCAGGACTTCAAGATACCGTAAAACATACTTAAAGAATCCCAAAAGCTACTTGAAGAGTTATCTTGAACTGTCACAAGAAATTGATATTAAGTTGTACCAATGTTAGTCCGACTTATAACATATATCAGTTCTTGCTCCATGCTGATTATAGCTCTGCATGTCAGAAGGTAGGTTTGATCTTGCTGTTCACCCTTAGGAAACTTCAATCTCAATTGCGCTTTAGGATTACCAGAATGCTATAATTTCGTTGTTATCTTTTAATAGTTTGTTTAAAGTTTCTGCTACTTATTACAATATCTAGTCAATGGAATAGTTGACCTCTAAAACTGCATTAAGAAAGGGAAGAAAAACATCAGTCCACCTTTGCCTAGCAATTTTATATAATGGTTATTTGATTAATTATTTCTCCATTAAATTTATGGCTGTAACGGCAGTAGTATATTGGTATTGTCATTGATCTGGTATAATTGCAGGTTGTCTTCTTTGGGGATAATGTCCCTAAAGCTAGAGCGGATGCTGCCATGGAAGCTGCAAAGGGATGTGATGCCTTCCTTGTACTTGGTTCATCTATGATGACCATGTCTGCTTTCCGGCTTATCAAGTAAGAAATGCATTGGTTCTGTCTTCCATTCTTTTTAAAGAAACTCTGGTCTACTTGGAAAGCTTTACCATGTTTGCTCATTTGATTCTTCTATTAGTGCATCATTGATGAATTGATCTCAGAGCAAGCATAAGTTTTTCAGCTGGGATTAGAAATGCACGATCTGAGGTTTCATTTGTGAGAGTGGTCCCTTTTGGTTTACCTTCTTTTTCCTTTTGAAAAGAGTTTCTAATGGTTTAGGGAGTTATAAGATTATCGCTTTGCATAAACTGTTGGATTTTCGACATCATAATTTCCTTCTTTTCCTTTCCCCGCTTTTGGATAAAATCAGCATCAGGACAATAACCATTAAATTACTTTGCACAGAGCTGCGCATGAGGCAGGTGCTGCTACTGCAATTGTAAATATTGGAGTTACACGAGCTGACGCTCTTGTACCTTTGAAAATTAGTGCTCGAGTTGGAGAGGTTAGTTTTTGTATAGTACGAGAATAACAAGATGGGGAACTCAAACTTCCAAATACCATACTGTGGGAATTATAGTATTCTGATATACAAAATATAGTCTACATATTGCTAAATCAAAAGAAAAGTGGGCAAGTGAATTCCCTCAATATGGAATATTGGAAGTTCTAGTTTCCTCGTAGCCATCCTGGCATCTATTTGCAGTTTCTCTTGCTGCAATGTCACTGGAAATGTAGCTTATACAATTATGGTGCAGATACTCCCAAGATTGCTCGATGTTGGATCCTTGAGTATCCCTGCTCTCTAGTTCCAGATACAGAACAGTGTTATTAGCATCCGGATTCTTTTTCATCAGTTGCTGCAACGGATTGTACACCTGGCTGGAACGTGCAACTTTGCTGCATTTAACGTGTCGCAAACTCACTACCACCTTGATGTTGTTGTAACTCTTAAAAATGAACTGCTCAAGTACCCCACATACTCTATCGACACCTTTACGTATAGATCTCTGTATTTCAATACAGTTCGACTATTTAGAAATGAATATTGGGCTTTTCTTATTAGTGAATTGAAGCTGAAAGTCAAGAGCACAAACGATATTGCTTGGAATTGGCAAATCTTTAAAGTCTTCTGCGTGTTAGGATCTATATGAACCAAGTTGAATGCCGATTTCTTTGATAAGATAAACTCATAGATGTTTGGCCAAGCTTTTGGAATGCTAAAAGCAATTCTTTTTTATCCAAATTATCAATTCATGTTTTTTGGAGATTTGACGTGTTTGGCGAAAAGAAAAGGTTCTGCTGAAGTACTTCTTCTGCTTTTTGGAAAAAAGCTACCGAGAAGAAAAACAAGAAAATTAATTTTTGCAAGACGTAATTTTTATTTACTAAACAACTACTATACCTTTTGAAGATCGCAAGGAAAACTAACCATTAGAACATTGAGTCATCGTCTCCACCTTTACCATGCTTTTTCTTATACTGCTTGGAATTGGCTGAACATTTGATGGTCCCTTGCACTTTAAGTAGTCGTTCAGTTGGGAAACAAGTTATCTCATGATTAATTGTTCCGTGATTAGTTACCTGATATTGTTATCTTAACCTCTCATAGGGGATAAAAAAATACGACAATTCCGGGATAACTAATTTCGGGATTAGCTATACTGCAATTTTATATCAACCAAACATGAGATAAACTTATTTCAAATTTAATTTCGCGATTAATTATCCCTTATTTCTCGTACCAAACAAGCCCTAAAACTTGTATAAGTTTTATTTACCAAGTCGAATATCAGATTTCTTTTATAAGTATATTTTTTAACTAATTGGTATCCAGAACTGTAAAGATTGAGAGGTGAACAACAATGGTGGAACTCAAGCTTGAGCTCCAATGGTGGAACCCTAGAAGCTTCTCGAAAAAGAGAGAGAATGAGAGAAGGATGGGAGTAAAATGAATTGATAAAACTGAAATATTTTCTGTACAAGATATACATATACATACCCTACGTGTGACCCACATTTGAGTGCACTAACTAACAAAACAAAGAAGCTAACTAAGCTCACTAACATACTTAACAGTGTTTACACATATAATTAAAATAATATTTCAATACCTCTTCCCCTCAAGTTGGAAGTGAGGTTGTCATTGCCAACTTGCTCATAATTGTGGCATGCTTGACCCCAGTAAGGGCCTTGGTTAGGACATCAGCTAGCTGGCAATCAGTTCCAACATGATGAAGAGATACTAGTCCTTCTTGTAGCTTGTCTCTCACAAAGTGGCAATCGACCTCAATATATTTGGTGCGTTCATGAAACACAGGATTGCGAGCAATGTGTAAAGCTGATTGGCTATCACAAAACACTGGGACAGGTTTAGGAAAATGGACTGTCAGCTCATCAAACAACCTGCACAACCAAGTAAGCTCACCAACAACATTTCTTAGGGCTCTATATTCAGCTTCAGCAGAGGAGAGGGATATGGTGGCCTGTTTCTTAGACTTCCAGCTGATAGGACTATCACCAAGGAGCACTAGATATCCAGTAACAGATTTCCTAGAATCTGGGCAAGTTGCCCAATCAGAATCACAATACCCTTTAACAGTACAATCAGAACTAGCAGACATGAAAACCCCAAGGGTAGAATCAATCTTCAAATATCTAAGCAAATGGTAAGCAACCTTCAAGTGAGGATCCCTGCGATCTTGCATGAATTGACTAAGGTGTTGCACACTATATGCAATGTCTAGTCTCGTATTTGTGAGGAAATTCAATTTACCTATCATAATCCTATAGATAGAAGGATCTGTCAGAGGCATACCTTCCTTAGCTTTTAGTTTAATATTAGGATCTAATGGTGAACTGAAAGAACTACAATGGAGACACTCATACTCCTTCAGTAGATCAAGTGCAAATTTCCTTTGGGAGATTATAGCACCATCATCCTTGTAGAGAACTTCTAAGCCTAGGAAATAGTGTAATCTTCCCAAATCCTTGATCCTAAACTGAGCATGTAGAAAAGCTTTCAACAAAGTAATTTCCTTTGAATTGTTACATGTAATGAATACATCATCAACATAAACAACAACAAAGATAACAGAGGAGTCGGTCTTCTTGTAAAACAAAGAACAGTCATTAAGGGAGTGAACATATCCTTTGGAACACAGAGCCTCAGCTAGTTTAGTATACCACTTTCGACTGGCCTGTTTCAAGCCATATAGTGATTTGTTCAGTTTACACACTAGCCCAGGTTTATCAACTAATAGGCCAGGAGGTAGATCCATATACACTTCCTCATGGAGATCTCCATGAAGGAAGGTATTATTTACATCAAGTTGAAAAAATCCCCAATGTTTCTTTATTGCAGTTGCTATGAGTGCCATGATGGTGGTCATTTTCACAACTGGTGAGAATGTCTCAATATAGTCAATATCAGCTTGTTGAGTATACCCTTTCACCACCAACCTGGCCTTGAAACTCTCAACACTACCATCAGCTTTGTGCTTGATTTTATATACCCACCTACAGCCTATTGGTCTCTTGCTTATAGGCAAGGGAACTAAGTCTCAGGTCTGATTAGCATGAAGTGCCTCAAACTCTAATGTCATGGATGCTTGCCAAGCAGGATCTAAAACTACAACTTTATAACAATTTGGCTCATTGTCATGGCAAATAATTTGCACAAGATGCTGACTATTATGAACCAGAGAGGTGAAGGAAACATAGTGGTGTTTAGAAAAAAGAGCACTAAGGGGAAAAGGGGAATCTAGAGTGGATGTGGGTGCAGAAGATGTTGAGACAGATGCATGATGTGTATCAGGGTGTAGGTTAGCATGGAACATACATAATCTTTCAAATGCACTGGTAGGTGATGTGCTCTAGTAGATCTTCTAGGTATGTGGTTAGACTTCAGTTAAAGATGGTGAAGGCGAAGGAATAACTTGTGATGGATTACTGGGTGAATGTACAGTTGAGTTGTCTATAGGTGAGGCTATAGAGGAGACATCAGTAGTACCTGTTGATGGTTGAGAAGTGTGAGTATTAGAATAGGTATGAATATCAGAATGTACCTCAGTGAGTGGTACATCCTGTGTAAGAGAGTTAGAATCAAGAACCGGAGGAAAGTGAGGAGGGGAATCAGATACAGTAGCAAAAGGGAAAACATGCTCATGAAAGGTCACATCCCTGAAAACATGAATCTTCTTAGTGGCCAAATTGAGAACTTTGTACCCTTTTGTCTCATAAGGATATCCCACAAAGACATGGGGAGTGGTTCTAGGTTCAAATTTATCTCTATGAATCTTGGGTATAGTGGGAAAACATAGGCAACAAAAACTTCTGAGGTAGGAATAGGTTGGTTTTTTATTGTAAAGGACTTCAATTGGGAATTTGTTTTTCAGATAAGTAGTTTTTTTTTCAGATAATATGAGTGGCAGCCAAAACACACTCACCCCAATACTGTAAGGGTAATTTGAACTGGAAGAGGAGTGCCCTGGCAGTTTCCAAAAGGTACCTATGTTTTCTTTCTACGACCCCATTTTATTGAGGAGTGTAGGGACATGTTCTTTGATGAATAATCCCTTTTGACTGAAAGAAGGATGAGGTTTCTGGATTCATAAACTCTGAACCATTGTCTGACCTAAGGTACCTTATATTTGTTTTGAAGTGAGTTTCAACTAATGATATGAACACTTTGATAACTTGTAATGTATTGCTCTTATTGGTTAAGAGGTCAGTCCAGGTGGCCCTACTATATTCATCTACTAGGGTGAGAAAGTATTTATAGTTGTCATGGGTGGCCACATGGTAGGGTCCCCAGAGGTCCACATGAAGAAGTTCAAAAGGAGAAGTTGTGGTATTGGTTCTGTGGGGGAAAGCAAGTCTAGGTTGCCTGGACATGGGACAAATAAAGCAGAGAAAAGGTTGTTTAGTTGAGAATTGAATAGGAATGGAGGATATCTCCCTCATCTTGACAAAAGGGACATGTCCCAATCTATAATATCACAGTAAGTCAACTTGATTCATATTAGACATGAAAGAATGTGATGAAATGCACTGAGTTTTATTACCAATGGAACTATTTACAATTGAGTGTGAATAGCAAGTGGAAATATTTACAGGTGAATCAGAATGATGGCAGTGCAAGCTATTTACATCAGAGGTCTTAGACAAAGCAGAATCTGGAAGAGACCAAGAGACAGGTGAAATTGAGCAGGAGTTCTTCAAACAACTTGAACACAAGAGGTATAAGACTTCCTTGACCTTACCAATCTCTAGAGGCCTTTTCATTGAAGGGGCCTACAGTAGACATAGAAAGTTAGAAAAAACTACTAAACCTTTGAACTGAGAAGCTAAAGAGTGTATTAAAAAATATTGTATTTGAAAGCAGGAACGTAAAGGACTCTCTGCAAGATAGCGTTTGGTGCAAGAGTAACTGTTCCAATTTCAGTGACTTTAACTCTATAGCCATTTGGTAAAGTGATTAACATAGGATACACTAAGGTTTTAATGTGAGTAAGTAAGGATTTATTGAAGGTTATATGATTAGAAGCCCCTGAGTCTAGAATCCAAATGTCAGCTCTTGACTTAAAGCATTTACATGACAACAGTCCAAAACCAACAGAGAGAACAGATACTGAACAAGCTAAAATACCTGTAAAATTCACATTTCCACCATTAGTGTTGTTATCTTAGTTATCTCCAACAGAGCCAGTCTGAAAATGCTGGAGTAGAGTCACCAATTGTCCATATTGCTCTTTAGTAAGACTGACATTAGAGTTGTTGCTTTGGGGCTGCATTTCCTCACAATTCATAGGAAAAGTTCCAACTGGAGTGCTATGTACATTTGCTGCAGTGCTCTTGCCTTTATTATACTTAGGGTTGTGATTGAAGTCTTGAGGATAACCGTGAAGCTTGAAGCATTTGTCTTTGGTATGACCAACACGCTTGCAGTAATCACAAAAAGGACGAGGTCTACTAGTAGAGGAGTAGTTATTTGGAGAGTAATTAGTTCTGAAATTATTGTTATGCATAGGTGCCCTGTTCAGGCTACTATGTGTAGGGACATTGGCATTTAAAGAGACAGATTCCATCACGAGCTGATTCTGCGGTTTCACTTCTCTTTGTTTTTCCT